GCGAGAGCTGAGAAACGCTCGCTTGGTCGGCGGCGACCGGGTTTCTGCGCCTCCTTCCTGCCCTGGCTGGAGGCACCCGACGGCAGCTTACTGCCTGCCTTGGTTTTTCCTTTTTCCTTCTCTTTTTTTTTTTTTATTGTTTTTCCTTGCAGGATGAGTAGCTGTCAGTGAGAGTGAGAACTAGCATAAGCTCCGTTTTTATTATTATTATTTACTTGAGTGACGGCTTGTTGTTTTTTTTGCTGTTGTTTTTTTCCCACTAGTATTGTTTTTCTTTGCAGGATGAGTAGCTGTCAGTGAGAGTGAGAACTAGCATAAGCTCCGTTTTTATTATTATTATTTACTTGAGTGACGGCTTGTTGTTTTTTTTGCTGTTGTTTTTTTAGAACTAGAGAAGTTAACGTGACTGTTGGGCTTAAGAATATCATCCGCTGTTTCCCCTGTGTTTCTGGCGGAACAGAAAGTCGTCTGAGCTGCTGTGAGATGACGCAAACCCTCACCTACCCTTTTTTTTTATTATTATTATTATTATTATTTTCAGGAAGTGAGCTCAGTAAGAGCCTTTTGAGAGCTGGTTGCTTTGATGATGGGTCAGCCATCTCCTCCCTCACCCCCCCATTTTGTGCAGGCCCTGGCATGCCCAAACCCTCTGAAAACCACTAATCCTGCAAAAAGGCCGCTAGCTTTTAGCCAGCTCAGCTTCTTGACCCAGCTCACCGCTCCAGCCCGCGAGCACCGCGCCGGCATGCTGCAGGACGTGGGACTGGGCAGGCTCAATTGAGATGGAGCTAAGCTGCCATGAAACCACTTTCAGAATTACTAATTCTCATCCAGGTAGGTTCCCTGGCCCAGCTCATGTTTTGGCCATCAAAGGAGCCTGGAATTCCCTTGCTAAAACAAAAGCTCCCTACTACTGAAGTGTAGCTGCAGTGGACCTGAGGAACAGTTTTACCTCGTGTCTTTCAGTACACTTCTTGCGTATTTGAAGAAGTATGTTTCTCCTAAGTTTTACTGCCAATAGGCTAAGCAGTTCTGCTTCTTTTGAGTCTGCCCTTCTGTGCTGCGCTTATTGCACTTGCATGCTTATTTCTCCCCGCTACGTTCTCTCCAAATGGCTCACGTTTTTCTTGAAGTGCAGCACCCAAGAGTGGACGCAGTGGTACGGGTAAGGCCTCAACAGCTCCAGCATCTGTTGTGTCGTGCCTGTCGCAGACTGTGTTCCTGTTTACACATGCCAGTGCAAATACTTTCAAGACTGTGTGATCTGCTCACAGTATTACTGGCCTGTTTTATCCCAGTGTCTG